TTCATTTAATGTTTACGGCATTCTTTAAATATTTTTTTTAATGTTTTTTTTTTCTCTTTTTTTTAACGTCGTTCGAAAAACGTAAAATGTAAAATTTTTCAAAAATTTTTTTCAACTTTACAATGCAGATAAATAAATTGCTTTTTATTCTTCTGCCCAAAACTTAACTTAAACACACTTTCCATTGTTGATGTACACGCTGAAAAAAGAAGAAACATATATAAGCATATGTGTTCATAATGTATTGGAGCACGTTGCAACTCTTTTGTTGACTCGACTTGCAATGAGTTTCTTGTTACCAAAACCATGGGAAACACAATCTGCCATGTTTCTCCTGTTTGTTGAGCAAAACATAACCGAAAAACTTTGCGTTGCTAAGACAAAGAATGAAATGCTTGTTGGTTCACTTTTTTCTTTTCTTTTCCTTTGCTTTGTCTTAGGATTCAAGATTAATCTGTCAATGTGTGCGCAGCGTAAACATCAACACCAACACCAACACTAGCACCAATACTAACAACGTCATTATCATTATCAACATTGCAAAAACTGCATAACTCACGTTTATTTGTCATTATAAAAGAAAATTCTACGAATACATGTATGTGATATGGAAAATAACGCGCATTTTAGAAAGCATGAACCAGTATAGCAATAACGTAATAAGAAGTAGAAAAAGAAGCTGAAAGGAGAACGAGAACAAAACATTTTCAAGGTTATATTATAATTTCGACATAAGCGTTTATAAGAGTTGAATAAATAATAATATAAAGACACAAAGTAAACGCAGACGTGCACATACCGTTTACTCAAGAGACACTTGCTCTAAATTTGTAAGTAAACAACTTTGGATTGAAGAAATTTCTATAAGAAAAATTGCATAACGAAAACTCGAGATAGTGTTTAGAAAGAAATTTTTTAAAATCAACCGCTATTTTCTTTCAATACCCTTTCAAAAGTCTTCAAGAAGTTGCAGTTTTCAACGTAGATATAACTCGGAGGATCGATAGACTACAGAAAATTCCGTTAACAGAAGAAAAGCAAAAAAAAAAAGAAAAGAAAAACAACGTCACAGAATAGACACGAATCTGAGAGTTGATAGAAAACGAAATGCATAAGAAGAGAAAACTGAGTTAAGGAATCTTCGTCCTATTTATAGGTATTTGCTTTTGTGCACGTTCTAAATCACGCCTTCAACGATGATGATAACATAGAACATACGGTATTTAGTAAGTCCTACCAACAAAGCAGGAAATTTGTTCACACTTAGCAAACATTGCGATTATTTCCAATAGCAAGAGACAACAACTAAGACCATAGTTCCTTCCAATCAAAAACAAAGACACGTTAAAAGAATTTAGTAGCATTTTAATCGCGAAATTAAAGAGAGAAACTTATGATTAACTTATGATATTAAAAAATATATCAAAACTTTTCATATTCTTTATGGCTGCCACACAGACGAGTAGATAAGAGCCACGGCCCGCAGTTGAGTATTCGCGGGTTTAAATGTCAGCGCGGTAGAGCATACTTAGTCGCAGAGGTAGTAAGCCTTCAGTCGCTAAAGGCCACTTATTGATTGGGTACGCGTTAGAAGCATAAAGGACGCACGATGGGAAATAGCAAAAAAATTATAACGTGAGTGTGCAGTACAGCGCATGAACCCACCTGGTCTAAAGTCAGTAAAGTTAACCTTTCTATAAAGTAAACTTTTCTTCATCGATTTTCGCCACAGAACAAACAAAAATGGTATCTTACAATTACATAAAGTTTGCTTCTTACTTCTTATGAAAAATAAGCCTCTGTGGCCAAAGTTATTTCAGTACATTAATAAATGAAGTCGTTGTCTTCGACAAGTTTCCAGCCTTGCTACCTAATCAAATTTATTTTATAAGAACATAGATATGAAATAAGGTTCAAAAAATGGTCTTTTCCGATCACAATATTCTAAACCTATCTAAAGGCCAACATATTATTTTCAGCTGATTTTTATTAAGAAATATTAAAAATGACATATATTAGGGGTCCTCGGCGTGTCGTACGAAGAATACGCCAGCGTACGAAATTTCATCACGATTTTCGAAAATTTGCGGCCTAAAGGCTGAACAAAAAAATACGTGAACCAATGTCAGAGTGATAGACTAAAACTAATAATGGCTCAGTCAATCGTTAATGCTTACCGATGAGGAAGCACATTCACTAGACTGCGTTCCCACTTGTATCCCTCCCTCTCTTTCCTTACCTCTATGTCACCGTCATCGTGTTACACGTATAGGATACATTTTCTTAAATCATAATCGTTAGAGCCCACGGTCGCTATCAAAATATAGTAAACCTCTCCCATTCAATTTTTCTGCACTTATTGAAATGAGTATCGTTTTTTTCTTAGTTAATGCAAAGCGCTTCTTTACTTTCATCTAATAAAGTGAATTTTTCGATTTCCCACATGTGCAAAAAAGGTCAGCAAAAAATCTGAATCAAATTTTTCCTCAAAAGCGAAATATGAGACTTCCGAAGAACTGAGAAGTAAATTAGTGATAGTATGCGCACTATTATACAAAATAATCTCTTATTGATCTCATTTTCGGCTTCTTTCTCTTCCGTTCTAATTTATTCATTTATTTACTTACACATGAAATCCAGCTAAAATATATTAAGACTCTAATTCAATTGATTCTTAGAAATAAATCGCAGGTTAAGTGTTATTAACGACTATTATAAAATCTCTAAAGAAAAGTAAAGAAAATTATATTCGGCAAGGATCGAATCTTTTATACCCATCGTCGTGATTCTAAAGAAAAAGGGAATAAGTAAATTTTCGCACTCTATGATATTGGGTGGGCGCGTCCGATATTTTCTATTTTCAAAATAAAAGCTTTTGCCTTTATAGGGACGTGGGCGTTGTAGGCGCTGTATCTTTTGAAACTTGCAAACTCTTCTCCAAATTTGTAAGCAATACCTTCACTTTCACTAACTGAAAAATGTTTACAACAGGTGCTGCACACTCGGGCAGACGGACAGAGGTACTGACGAACTTGCTTAGATGGATTCCAAATATGAAAGTGGCCAAGAATTTATATACTTTATGAGGTTTTTGAAGCTCGGCACCCGAGTTGGGTGTGACTCCCAAACCCATTGCAAACACGCAAAAGCTCGGCAACCCATAATAATGAAAAAAAACATTTTTCGAACCACACAATCAATCGTACAAACGTATCAGGATTAGGATTGAAGTTAATTTGATAGGACTTAAAAAATCCGATATTGACTGTAGATTGTAGATACCGTTTGGATTTTTGGAAAGGATGCTAAAAAAGTTAAAAAGCACGTAATTATAGCTACGTAGGCTAAGGTCTATGAAAATAAAGCTCATAGAAAAACGTTTTGGAGCAATCGAAATTGATCTCACCGAGTAACGCCGGCGAATCGATAGTGCCATTTATTAAGAAGAAAACATCAAGGATAAATCTCTACGTTCCTCAAGTGGGTGGTAAGGATAAGAAAACCAATTTCTTTTCATAAGAAGCTAAAGAGACGAGCAGGTCACCGGGCAATGATTGGGCATTGCTATTGAACCGGTTCTGTTGAATCTGCAGAGTACGTATAGAAAGGAGACCAAACAATAGAAGCGTACTCGAGTATTGATCTCGTTGTGAAATCGTCCTATTTGCCTGATTTAGTTTTTCGCGTGGAAACTAAACAACCCACTCTAATGATATTATTTTGACTCAATTGAATGGAGAGCCATCGCGATTCGAAATAAATAGCTGAACAAGCAGCATGCATTTAATTTTATCCAAATTACTTTATCCAAATTTATTTAACTTTGTTCAAATTGCTTATACATTCATTGCTTTTTAATTAATGTTAAATTAATCGTATTACAAATTATCGGGTTATATTAATATAAAGAAGGATAGAAGTGTTTTTTACAAATTATCATTACAATTAACATGCTGTGGTGTGGCCTTAAACTCAAAAAAGCAAAAACTGTACGTGCGTTACTTGGAAGAATTTTCAATAGAAAACAAAACTAATGAAAAATTACGATTTCTTCCTTGGCTTTTCATTTCAACTGCACTCACACGTCTTTCTATTCAGTACACGATAAATTAAAAACTTTTCCGCGAATGCAGGGCCAAACGGGAAAAGAAAGAAAAAAAGGAAAAAAACCCTTGTAAGAAAAATCCTCGCACGTTTTATAATTTGTTCGAACACAAGTATTGTTTACAGTTAACGACCAGAACACACGTTCATTTAATTCTTAAGGCTCAATTCTTTTCTCTTTACACTCTGACTCGCACACACACACACACGCATACATACATACATACATACACATAAATCGAAATACACATAACGAACTTATTTCCCTTAACAAATACAATGCAATAACCAATGAAAAGGAGTAAACCGTGTAACAAGTTGTAACAAGTCCAAGGTTGATTACGAGTATCGGAAAAGTAAAGGAAGATAAGAAGACTCAGAGATGAATAAGAAGCGGGAGTAAGAAAAACGATAACAAATGAATTGTGTTGATGCACAAGGTGAACAAATAAAATGTAATCGTATGAGTGCGTTTGCATGTGTATATATTAACGCATAAAATATGTACGAAAGTGCAATAAAATTCTTACACATATGTATACATGTAAAGCAAAAGTGAAAATAGGCCATAGAAGAACACATGTCATAAAGTGTGCGAGAGAATTTTGTTACCTTATGTTTTTCTTCGGGCACTTTTGAGTTTTTCATTTAAAAAATTTAAAAGCAGCAATAACTTTACGGGTTATCGTAAAGGAATTGGTACCCTCTTGCCGATAAAATGCAAAAAGATATTTTCGATTTTTTTATTTTATGCATAATTAAATTTCAATTTTTTTTCTTTTTTTTTTTTAATTTAAAAGCCTTTCATCCAACTTATAAATTCATTAAGCATAAAATTTGATACATTGCAATCTGTCACGTTTTTTTTTTTTCTTGTCTCTTTGTATTTGTTACAGGAACCGATTGCGAGGAAAATGTTGATGAATGTATGTCAAATCCATGTCAAAATGGCGGACATTGTCGTGACCGTAATAATGGCTATACATGCACTTGTCAACCTGGCTATCTGGGAGATCATTGCGAAATTGATGTGGCTGTATGCGAGACGGGTAAATATGAGTGAACTACAACATAAAATTTTATGAAATTAATAAAATTATTCAAGAGCATTGCCTGTTGTAAATTTATGATATTTTTTTCTCTTTTTTTTTTTTTGGTGTTCAACAACAGGCACCGGTGCTCGTTGCCATAATGGTGGTGAATGCATTGAAGGTCCTGGCCTGGAGTTTTCTTGTGAGTGTGCACCCGGCTGGCATGGCCGTATATGTCAAGACGAAATTAACGAATGTGATTCGGCTCCTTGCCAAAATGGTGGTGTTTGCGTGGATAAATTGGCAAGTTATGTGTGTGCTTGCCCGATGGGTTATACTGGTACCAATTGTGAAGAAGAAATTCTCATATGTGCCGACAATCCTTGCCAAAATAATGCTCTATGCCTAATGGAGGAAGGCGTGCCCACATGTTACTGTGTGCCCGATTATCATGGTGAAAAATGTGAGTTCCAATACGACGAATGCCAACTGGGACCGCGATGTATGAACGGAGGCATTTGCATTGATGGCGTGGATACTTTTTCGTGTTCTTGCCCACCGTTGCTAACGGGCATGCTTTGCGAATGCCTAATGATCGGCGAAGATTCACTGGATTGTAATTATACGGCGCCTTCAACACAGGCTACTCCGGTGTATTCAAAACCCAAATACATGCCTACAACGCCTGTAACGGTGATGTATTCCAAGCCCAAATACTTGCCAACAACCCCAGCCTTTCCCATGTATACAAAACCGAAATGGGTCAGCGAAATAACTACTGCGAAAACTTATGTAACAACCATGTTCTTGGGAGAAGACGATATATCTTCAGAAATTACAAAGTCTTCTGAACAGGCAACAAGTGCAGACGGTGAATCTCTGGAGAAACCGATAATAACGGGGCAATCGTCAGAGGAAACCATCTCAAGCACCAAAAAAACTTATATATCCTCCCCTGGTTGGGGCGGAGATATATCCCCGGTTATTACAGAACCACCGGGAAGTTATCAGTCGGGCTCAAAGGATAGCGGTGAGGTAACACATTCATCTGAAGTTAGTGGTTCTGTCGAGATAACGGGCTCAGAGGAATTTACCACCATTGCTAAATTCGATGATAGCTCTGACAGTGCGGAAATCACTACGGTTAAACCCGTTAGCATATCTGGAGATTTAGATTACACGTCAGGATCAAAATCGGGTGAATTTGTACCCGGAAGTAAAGAATATCCCGGAAAAGAAGCGTTAGATGTATTTGAACAGCCACCCACGAAGACTTCTTACGTGCCATCAGTGATCACAACTTCCATAGATACCACCTATCGTGGCATTGATTATTCCAAACCTACTCGGCCATCCTGGGTTGCACCTCCTACATATTATCCCACCTTGACTACTTCTCACGCTACCTCCAAACCTGAAAGTGATTCGCACTTTTCCACCACGTATTTCACCACGATAGAAGAACATTCGGGTGTAGGACCCACTAAAACCATACCAATTATACGACCTGGTATGCCAACAACAACAACTGCGCCTTTCTTTACCGATTATCCCGAAGTAGTCATCACTACTAAGTATTACGACTTCGGACATAAAGAAAAAGATAAGGAAATCGGTATAACTCCGCGACCTCATATACCCACATATTCGGTAACTACAATTGGAACGGTGCACGACTACGAAGGTCCTACTATTACCACTACTGCACCAGGTATTTCGATTACGGTATATAGCCCAGAAAATCGTACCTATCCACATCACTTCACTACACCATATCAACCGTTAACTACAACCACATCAACGGTGAAAACTTACCACGAAACCACAACACCCTATTATCACCCCTCACCAACGTTAACAGCAGGTACTATAAAACCCGGTTATCACCCAGAAATTGCCGTCACCACTGCCTCACCACAGCACTTGTATACAGAAGACTTAATTACCCAACGAATTCCAGCATCCATACCTGAAGTAGGTATCTCTGCAAAGCCTGATTTTCCAGAAACTGCTACCGAATACCACCATACTGTGGTAACATATGGTTCCCCTGCCACGTACAAACCAACTATGAGACCCACTTCACCGTCACTTACAAAAATGCCAACAATATTACCACCAAAGCCTACACTATTACCTCAACCTACTTTGCCACCAACTTCACCACCAACATCTGTGACGTTGGCGCCACAACCTGCTTTGCCTGCACAACCAACTCATTTACCTCCACCGGCAACTTTATTACCACCACAGCCCACCTATCCACCACCTGTTTATAGTACACATCAAACCGTTAGCGTTAAAATACCGACTGCGGTAGGAGAAATTGCTAGTGAAGAGGAAGATAGTGCCAATACCGTAAGCCCACTTATACCGGGCGGTGCTGGCATAGGAGGCGTAAGCCACACAGGTGGCGCAGGTCCTATCGACGCTGACTCTCAGGCGGATTGTATTAAAATGGGTTGTTATAATGGTGGCACTTGTGTTACAACATCAGAGGGCTCAAGGGTAAGTATAGAAAAAAAATTCTTAGCTAATATAATAAAATGTGACTCGGAAAGAAGAACCAGAATTTATCCACAATTTTGAAAGAAGTGCGCGATTTTCATATTTTAGGAAAGTAAAATGTATTTTTGCTTAATCTTGATCTCCTGTGAGATCAAATGTAAAACTTGTTGCAAGGACGTGCTCCTGAATATTGAAGAAAAGATATAAAAAATATGCGTAACGTTGCTCTTTAGCAAAATGGTCTTGGTTTAACGAAGGCATAAAAAGCGCTATACAAGCAAGGTTTCCGTGAATGCGGAAAATCGATAACAATTTTGTTGCTTCGCACTGATTAATGCTCAAAGCGAGAGATAGCTCCCAAGAAAACAACAATAACACTCAAATGCTATAAGCTTTCAAGTGGTGAAATGTTGCTGATTTATTAAAATGAAACATAAAATAAAAGCAATTTAATAGTATAATAGACGAAATAAAAAAACTTCTATCCAAATTTATTTGCATCCTTCGCAAGTTCTTTTTTACTCTTTGAGATTTAGAATTTCCCGCAGCCGAGAATAGCTTCTACTATTATAATTAGTATTTCATTTATGTATTTATCCAACTCCAAATAGATATTATCAGCAGATAAATAATATCTTAGAGCTAATGTATGTACCACTCGTGGTAAAAGCTTTGTGTGACAGCTAGAAGAAACACTCTTTTAAACAAAGGCTACTGCACAACTAACAGATGTTTACTCACGTACAGATAGCGTCATTGTTCAAAAGAAAACAAAATATTACGGTTGAAAGTATGAACCATTTGAAGTTTAAGTCTGAAGTCTAAAGGCGTTCGCCATAAGTTGTTTAGTATTCGTACGTTATATAGTATTTGTTTGACAACAAGGGAAAAATTGTGCACCGTTAATAGATACTACGCTTTTAATACTGCGCAAACAATATTTAAGCTGAGCTGTATTATACTTTAGCGCCGCCTCCTTTTTTTTAACATAATGAAATGGGAGGACCGCAGCCGAAAAACTTTAAACCCATACGAGCTGCCAAGACGACTACAGCAATAATCGATCAAACGAGATGTGCAAGAAAGAAGTAGTAGAGAGAGTCTATTAATTTATATTGGACAACAATAGGGTAAAAGCCCGCAAACTATAAAATATGGTAGGAATTCCAAAAAGTACTGCAGACCATACATTGACTGAAGATTTAGATATAAGAAACTTGTGTGCACAATATGTGAGACACTTGCTAAATGTGAAGGAAAGACATCCGGTTTTCTAGTTGTTCTGCAATGATTCTGGTTCAAGAGCGTATTTGATATGGAGGTTCATTGCTGCACATTCGCGATGAAGATGTATTAAAATGTATAGACCGAAAGCGAAGGATCGGATTTAAAAAAGGGCAACGCAAATCCACCTTCCATTAAGCCAAGACAAAACTGTTCAAAAACATCAGATTGCTTCCTCACCCACCCAAAATAGGCTAGCAATAAAATTGTGGGGTCTGTGGTTGATGATTTTTTTGAGAGATCCCTTATAGACAGTCTATCGCTGCATTGACCGCTGGAAAAAATGAATCGAGCCAATAGAAAATAGAAACTTTCCTACTGGGAACAAGAAATTTTTCATTTTTATTGGTTTTTTGAGAACCATTGGACTCTCTTAATCTCTGTTAATGCCAGAGGACGCAATCTAAGTTTGAACCACAATTTTTTTCCTCTGTCCTTGCCAAATACACATTTGTTGTTGGTCGTCTAGAGACCCGAACTATATATCAGGCCCGAATCTTTCAAAAGTTGTATATGCAGTATACAGATTCTCGCAGCGCACGTAGCGTTGGTGGATGTAGTTTCCAGAACGTAACGAACTATGTGCAAAATACAAATTTTAAAGAAACCAAATGTTAACGAAGCCAATAGAAATTTACATATAAAAATATTTGTACATATATACAAGAATAATTGTAATAAATTTTGTGTGAATGCATACGTATAAGTGAAGTGAGACATTATGAATGTGTAGTTGATTTTATCATTTTCGGGAACTTAGGTTCTTTGAAAATCGACTAGTTTTTATGCAAACTCAAATCGTCATATATGGGCTTTTCTTTACTATGTACAACTTTTCGAAATATATACGACACACATGAACTTAGGAATATTTTTCTAATCTTTCAAAAAATGTTTTATAGTATTTTTGCTAGTTTTTGAAAGGTACGTTACATACTAAATTTTTATATATGCCCTTCAATCTTTTCTCTCGTCGCTTTAAACCGGTGCACCTCCGGTATATGAATCTCAAAAATAAGAAGAAGTAATAAGTTGTCACATCTGGACTGTGCAGTGTATTTTCCAACAATTTGACTTTTTCCCTTTTGAAAATTCCTTACCTGCAACTGCCTGCAGACATGTATTATTATAATGGTATAATATCTCGTTCTTAGCCATTCTTAATTCATTGGCTTGGTAGCAAATCGAAGATATGTGAATGGTACTCAGTACAGCGAGTTACAGCTCTCACTGTAACTCTAGCCATGTCAATTTTGTAAAAAAAAAAAATGAATCAATCATTTTAAGTCTACACTGCGTACATTCATTTTCTCCTATAATAAATATTTATTTTAGCCAACTAAGTTATAATTGTCTAGAAAAATTGTTTAATTTTTCAGCTGTGCGCAAAATCTTTAAATATGGCCAATTATTCAGAGCACACTCACTATGCGTGTAACACGATGATAGGTCACAAGGAGGTAGAGAAAAAGAAATTGTAGCTATGATCAAGTGTGTTCAAACATCAATATTGTGTTATTTACGCTTGGTTAAGTAATATGTGTATGCATTCCTGCAATGCATGCAAAGCTTTCGCAAATAAGTTTCGCAAATCGTATTCTCTCCATAAGTAGCACATATTCTCGGACACATTCACGGAGTGAAATTCTTCACCTTTTTGGAAATGAAAACCGATACGCGTTTAAAAAATGTTCGATTTTCCATCTATATTCGGAAAACTTTGATGAATACTTTGTTTGGAGTGTTTGCTTGAATTCGAAGTTTAAGTAAATTCGATCTTCCTAAGGTCAGCACGTATGCGTGCGGGAAATCAACTGCAAGCAACATTGTCATTACATCGTTATGGGATTGTGCTTAGATGAAACAGCTTATTAATCGATAATGATTAATTAATAGATGTTGACTTTTTTATTTCATAACTCATTTTATAATCAAAATACAATGATAAAGATTTTATTTGGATGTGCAATAAAATTTTCATATCTATATACAGTTACAATTGTAATTTAATTTTAATTTATACTGCAATCAGGTTTTATTGGAAATTTGAAAAAAAAAAAAAAAACAAAAGTAAAAAAAACGTATTAAATAAAAACTTTAGCAAAGCTCTTCCACAGCAATTTTTACAACAATTAAAATTTGTTTTCACTTTATGCTGAAAAATCTGTTGGGATACATAGTTTGCTTATGCATATGCAATTTTGTATATATATATTGTGTTATGAAAATTCTCAACTAAACAAAAATCATGAATATTTTTATTTGTGTTCACACATTTGTTACATAATAATTAAATTTATTTTATTATCGCTTTGTTTTAATTCAATCTATGTGTCTGCGTATATCTGGTATTCGCAATTGAAAACCTTGAAAACATTTTTATGCAAACACCAACACACACATAATTATTATCAGATGGTGTCGGAATTTTATTAAATTGTATTTAGGTTTAAAAATTTATAAATGTACATACATATATATGTACATTATGTGCACAAATGTATATAAGTGCGTGCGCATTTGATTTGAATGCTTTGCTATTTCTTACTTTTCCCTGCATGCATGCATATTTTACGCTTACTCACGCACACAAGCGTACTTTTATCAACGTATGCATTTAACATTATTTAATTAGTATAATTTTCATAATTACGATTGTGCTTTTGCCTATGCATAAATCAGTGCAAAATAAAAATTTATGCATTTACATAAAATTCAACCAAAAATTTCACAAATGTAGAACTTTTGCGAATTTCAACCATTTTGTAATTTTGAGGTTTTAAAGGTTAAATAAGCTATTTTGGCTTTTTGTTATAAAATAGTTTCCCCCATAAATTGCAAAATTCTTAAATCACAACAACAAACGCATAACTCATAATTAGCTGTTCGAAAAATTTCATTTACAAGGAAGTGAGAGACTTCTAACTACCATGTGGTCTTTAATATTCTCCGCCGAAAAATAACGAAATTAGTTCCATTATTAACTTTGTAACATAGTGAGAAAACCCATGCGCTCTCCTTTCTTTTCCTTTTTCTTAAAATTTCGAAACACTCAAAATTCACCTTTTTCACCATAATCACACCTACATCACTTTTGGGACAAAGGTAAACCACGTTTGTGATTATGGGTGTTTGTGGGTTCATCGGGTTAAACTTGTCTGTGCCACTTACCATCTAACGTTCTTTTTTTAACCAACTTGCTGCATTTTTTAAAATATTTTGGTGAAATTTGGTACAGTGATGTGCTTTGGCCCAAGGACAAACACTATTGAAAATAATTCGGACCCGACAACTTTTTCAACTATGTCCCATATATCGCATTATTTTGAAAACTCGTTATATGAATAACTTCTGGGTGATGTAGGGTATGTTTTGGTGGAATGCAGCCCGCTATAATTTTGTACTTGTTTTTTATTTGTGAAAAATTCCTGATGAAAAAAGAGAAACATTCTTAAAAGCACCACAATTAATTTTGTTAGCCCCAAAGTGCCGCCTAATGCTCATATTCTTGAAAATCTCATTCCTTGTTATGGAAAAGGAAAGTCTTTAACCGGAGGGAAACGGAATGGACATGGAAGGTGATTACAAACATCCCAAACAACAGTGCAGTTTTCACTAGTCGCTGAGGCTTGATTAGCTTGACATTCCATGCACAGGCCCATAAGGCGAACGCCCTTTTTTTTTACTTCAAAGCATCTCGTTTCACTCTAAGTGCT